TAGCTTACTCATTTCTTCTGCTAAGAAGTTTGCTTCTCTCACCAGTGTATTCGCCTTTACTATCTGCTCTCGAAGTTTAGCCAGGCTCTGTCGAAACAATTCATCCCTGTGGTGCAGTAGGTAACATGAAAAATACACAGAAACCTATTTCTATTATTGGAAAGTTGCAAATAGGGGGGCTAGCAAAGACTTTTCTGAAACAAATTTAAGAAGAAATGCCTACATAGCACTATGTTAGCAAACACAAACGGTGTCAGACAATTCTATCGAAAAGCATTAATCACATTAAACAAACATGTTACTGTTGAGGGAAGTCTAGCATAGTTAATGCCCAAATAAAAGGGCACAGTACTATGGGAGCTGCTACAATGATAATTTGCTAAGAGCCCTAGGGATAGTCCTAATTTTCAAGACATGAAATAATTGCAGCTGTCTTTCTCTTTAATCCGGGGTCACGTTCCACAGAAACTACCAGTCCTTACATGTGATACTTCATCTTGATAAAACTGTTTTCCTCGGATCATGATGTTGGCACCTGTGATCACTGTAGGCCACACCTTCACACTACAGCTAGGGCTCTGCGGGCCTTCACTGTGCTAGAGACCTCCAGAACTCTCTGCATATACTCAGCCATTTCAGGTGTACGCATTTTAAAAACCCTTATGTTCTGTATACCAGATGTACTTCGTAATGAATAAATAAATGAGTACAGGCTAATAACTTGCGCACTCTGTGCAGTCAGCAGTCTCTGGACAAATTCCAAAAAGGCTTCCAAAGCTTGTCTGAGCAAATCTGTTCTCATGCAGAGCCTGGCAAACCTGCTGTGACACATACTGTATCACCACCTGTGATACAGAGACATGCTCTCACCTAGGATCCTCGTTTTTAATTTACCTTTAAAGCATCATGCCATTACCCTTTGAGCAAATGGAGAGGAAAATCCCCTTTCTGCCTTTCTTTAGAATGCCAGCTGCATTTACTGTATCTCCTGCATAAGCCTTGTGATCAAATCTCAGATTTTTCAGTGGCTACCCACTTCTGTATACAAATTTTCAGCTTTCCTATGCAAAATCCTACGGAAATACGTTGTACATATATACTTTTCATTTCTACAAAATACACTCCATTAGGCATATGGTTGGGAAGAACGATTAAACTCTAGTAGGCCTTGCTGTGAATATGGGTAAAGTCTGCCAATTTGCCTTTATTCAGATAAGCTCAGATCTTTTGCATGCCTTTATAGCACAAACCATGAAGAACTGTTATTATGCCTTTTACTCCCAGAAAGAATTCTTCTTGAGTGGCTATCTTTTTCAAGATATCCCAAAGAACAGCCTGGGTAGTCACAGTCATGCTCTGATGGTTCCCTGATACGGTATCACCCAGGAAGTGGGAAATGACTAGCAGCATTAGCTAGTAGCTCTGAACTGTACTGCCTACAGCATGCTAAAGCATGCAGCTTTGTATCTCTGCCCTGCTTGGCCTAACCCTGCAATGGCAGGTTTTGTTGGATCTTTAAATGGCTGCTACTATCAGCAGATTTTTAAGTCGGCCTCCTCCATATCTGCTCCTAGAACTATATGGAAAATTCCTTTCCCTGTCCCTCTCGCTTCTGTTATCCAGGCCATCAAGATGAAACAAGCAGTTCTTGACTATGGGAGCGACACATTGCACAGACAGCTATATTTTTTAGTTTGCCTAGAAAATGAAGGTAGAGTCAAGAATTAACTTGTGCTAACTAGTGCTTTACGCTGAGAGTGCATTACATCTGCAACCACTGTTAGTCAGCTGCCTAGCTCGAGAAACAGACAGCTTTGATCTTTAAGAGGCATGGGATTCGGCTATATCCAGTCTCTTCCGTGATCCAGCAAACCTGGGTCTAGTTAGCTTTTTGGGGATGCTTCAGCACCAATTTTTTCTTAGCCAGATTTTGAGAAAGGAATGGTTTAAGACTACCAGAGTGGTTCTGGTTGCTCAGCCAAACTATTATTATAGGCAGTAATCACTACCTGTTGTACGCTATAGTTCTGGTTTTGTGTATATAGCTGTGCCAGTGCACTTCCAGAAACTTAAGCAAGCAAAATATGTTTCAGATGGGACTTTTTAATTCTTATAACAAAATATATGCCAAGCTCCATCAGGACATCAACCAAAGCCACTGAACATGAAATCCTGAAAAAACAGGTTAGGCCAAACATCAGCAAAAACCGCAAATCTTACACGTACGAAGCGTCACTGTAAGTCTCTCAGATTCTTAGTATACGAGTAAAATGCTGAGTCCAAACGAACTAAAGCTTTGCTCTAGTACAAACTCCCTCTGACAGATTAAATTTGTTCAAAGTTACGATGGGTTAACTTTATGCTAACAGATTTTAATAACACATCAGGCAACTTCTGTTCTTCTCCTGTCAGCACAAAGCTTGAATAAACTGTGTAATACGTTCTGGCTGGTCTGACAGACACAACCACGTGCCTACATCTGATATTTAACAAATTCATTCTGCTGGCTGATCTGGAGGAGCTCAGCTCTATTAGCAGTGGCAGCAGAACCACAGCCAAACGGCATGAATCAAATTCTTAGCAATCCTGGCATTTGGCTCTTTTACACGTTTTTCACATAGACTCTTACCACCTTTTGTGCAGTTCTCATCTTCTAGGTTGGTGAACACCCTATTGGCCATGCTCTAACAGCAGAAATTACCTTAAGATTTCTTCTAGTTTCTTATTTAAGATCACTCAGAATTTTCCTCGCTTTTTTCAGAAGCCTGAGCCTCTTCTAGAACTGAAGAATGTAAACCTAAGACGACATTCTGGAGGACAGGAAGCTGATAATTAGTTCTCCCAGAAAACTGCTTACTCAATGGCAGTGCTAGAAAAACATTACCAGACTCCTTATTAACCACTACAAATGACTTTTTCTTTTTTTTAAGCAATACAGCAAGTACAGTCTTCAAATAATTCAACAGATACACAGAGTAAAGTATTTGCCCATGAGACAAAATGCTTGTTTGAAGCACAGCTCCTCCCGAAGCACTTTCTAGCAACCGCTGGGAAAACAAGGGTGGCAGGACACCTATATTTGATATCACTCTGGATTCTCATTTTTTGTGTCAGCCAGTATCTGGCTGTGGTGTTTGGTTAACTTTAAGCTTATCAACTGTAACTTTTTCTTCTTCACGGTCAAGGACAGAAAAAAAGTTTCTACCACTTTCTAGCCCCCCCCCCCATTGTGTCTTTTTATAGGTATCACTTCCCTTGCCAGTAAGCCCAATTCTCATCTCTGCTACTGCAGAGAGTTGTTAAACACTTCATGATGGCTTCACTGTGCTCAAGGCAGTTCTGAATAGCAACAATGACTCCAACCAGAGTGCATTTTATTTCACTCTGCTGCCATAGCACTAAAACAGTCTGCAAAATCACAACCATGACACTGCTATATTTTACAGTCAGTTCACAATACAAAGATTCTGTTTTTAGCTCTTACAAAGCAAACAATTATTTTAATTAAAGCTAAAACAGAGCAACACTTCTCCCTATGCTTGCCATGGAAAACATTCTAGTTATCACTGGTGAGTGGGTGAGCAGATTGGTTTTTGGTTTTTTTCCAGGCCAAACTTGGCAGAAATTATAAAACAAGACCTTGCACAAACACTAAACCAAGCAGAGTACAGGACTAGATCTGTTCTATTTCTAACATTCTGAATTTGAAAGCTGAAACACAATCTTTGCTTGCTTTGTTTAGATTTTTCTTGCACAAGGATTTCTTATAGCAGAGAATAAAGGAAAAGTAACCAAGACGGAGCATTTGAAGTCACTATGTACAGAAAAGAAGTTGAAGGAATAATGAAGCTTCTGTTTTAAAAGGCAAACATTCACAGGAAATAGAGCTAGAGGGAAACCCATGAGAAACCTACTATTACATCTGGTTATTCTTCCTCCTGAATGAACCCAATGACAAAATATTTGTTTGTTTACCAAAATATGGCAGCTGAAACCTGAATCATCTCACATTGCCGACCCTAGAACTCCTCTCCAGGAAGCTAACATCTTTGTCTCCCCACTGATACCAAGAACAAGTTTCTCTCATTTTCAGGATGCAAATGTCAGCACACCACTTGCATCTTCCAAGCCCACTTTTTAAATTCTTCCTAAAAATCATGTGACCTTCTTTCACTAAGGCTGCTTTCAGGTGCCAGGCTGTCCCTCTGCAAAGGGGCTACTGCCTTTTCATGTCACAGCAAGCTGCCCCTTTTCATTTCTTCTCAAGTAGCTCAAACATACTCTATTTGACTATTAAGCAATACTCAAGCATACAACAATCCTCTTCTGAAGCTGGGCTTACTTTTAGAAATGCATACACACAAAACTTAAGGCCTTCATTTTTCTATATTTTTGTGGTTTGGGATTGCAAAATACTCCTTTCATTGTATATTCTCAGCATAGAAAATGCTTGAGTAGACTCCTTAGCCCGAGTGGACAAGCTTGTCCCTGTGCCATCTTTTCCTTTCTTCCCAGAACTTACTTAATCTAATTGCTAAAACAAACATTTCAGAAGCATTTTTTTATTTTAAGAATTAATAAAGAATGCCGTAACACTGATCAATAAAAGCTAAATCCTTATTTCAATTTCTTATTTCAATTCAATTTCGACTTTCAATTTCAATTTCTTATTTCCTTATTAAATCAAACAAACTGGAAGAGCCTGTACACACTTCACAGGTCAGAACTTCATCCCGAATGAAACGCTTACACTCTGGAGAAGGCAGATCTTCTGCTGCTGTTTAATGCCACAAAAAAATATTGACAGTTTCTGACAGATGGTTCGACCTGCACCTTTCACTTACATCCCACCCTTTGCAGCTCTTACTCATTCATTTGTTTTAACTCCAGTATTCTCACCTCTCTTCTGTCCAGAGGTTTACTTTCTGCTGTGCAGTCTGAGCAGTGTAGGAGAGTCTATCACTACCATGCTGATGCTGCCTTTCTGGAGAGAGTTGCTGCCGTAGCTGCTCCAACTCCCGTTCATACATCAGCCGCTGCTCTTCAAGAGCACTCCGCTTCTCTTCCAAGTACTGTTTCTCCAAGATCTGGACCACATTTTGAACTGGGTCTAAAAAACATGAAAAAGTGAGAAAACACCATTCCAGCATTACAGAGCAAATGTTGTCATTATCTATATGGCAACAGCAATCAAGAAATCCCAGGCTCTTTCCAAACACAGGATGGCCACTTCCTTTAAAAACTCACAATCCAAAAGCCAAAAATAAATAAATCCAAACAAGAAAGAATAAGGCATGCAGAAAGGATAGAGCAATAGCTGACACCTACTCCAGCTGCAGTCTCCAGTATTGTGAATTCACAGTATGTTCCAAAATCCCAGTCGAAAAGAAAGAATAGATGGAAAAGGGGATAAATTAATAAGCAGAGAAAAAGGAAACAAAGCAAAACACAAGGGAAGATGATCTTAACCAGTGAAGGAAATGATTTAAGGAAGGAAAAAGTGATTTACTGTCTCCATTTTGGCAGAGAATGAAACACGATGGAGCACAGCAGAAGAAAACTGAGACAAACAAATTGTCTAAATCTGGTCGTGCCAAGGCATTGAGCCACTGCACTTCACAACACAGAAGCAAAGTACATCCTGGAGGGAACTTCTGCATTTAGTATTACAAATCACATTTCTACCTACCATGCACAGCAACTATCCACTTGGATCCTAAACCCTGAAATACAAACTGCTTGTGTCAAGCAGCTACAGTTAACCTAAATTGCTTTCAAATTAAAGAAACTTTACTTGGTATATTTCTGGTTTAGGTACAATATCAGACCGTGCCTTTGAAAGAGCAATTCCATGCCTAAACACAGCAAGGAAGAATAGGCTTGTTAAGAGCACAGACCTAGAGAGGTACTTCTGAATGACCGAATGGTGTTCTGACTGAATGACAGCACATCCCCTAATAGATTGCTGAGTACGTGCATCAGGAGGGGAAAGGAGAGGAGCCAGTCCCATAGCTGGAGAGGTAGAATATGAAAGTAACAAGGCAGCTCTGAGTCCGTTCAGGATTTTCAAATGTAAAACTTCAGATTTAAAAACGATGAAATGTCTGTGATACCTCTTCCATTTTGCAAATAGACAAAAAAAACCAAATAAACAAAAAAAAGCAGCACTGTTATGACTGTGAAGGATGCTGGTCCATCACAAGGAGGAGGGGCAGGGGAGGAAAGGAGAAACCACAATCTATATTCATTTGCATTATCCTATTTCAGAAATGGAGGCTTGTTTCTCAAGCAAATAAGCCCCTAAAACAAGAAAATCCAGCATGGTTTAGTTATGAATCATCTTGCCTTGACTATCAAAAGCCACTCCTAGTAAGATTTTACGCGAGTTTTCCTGCTACTACAACGCTGCATGAAACAGAAGTTGGGTTACTACAGCATTAAACAGAGGATTCACATGAAAGGCTCTACAGGGTATTCATCCATGGTAGTGTATGCTGATCACCATAACATACATGCACACACACACGCACTCTCTCCCCCTAAAAAGATTCCTTGTGTCTTCACAGGCAAATGTAGCATTACGGTATTCAGTAACGGACTTAACAACTTAGTACTACTAAAACTACTCAGATCGATTTTGCTAAAGGTAATTTAATCCACTATTTGTGATTTTAACATACATAGATATTTAGGTAAGTGACTTCATAAAACAAACCCTTCCTATTACAAATGACAGAGAAGGAAATAAGGTCTTCAGGGTTCTGTTGTTACAGTGGATTTATATTTGCCTTCCAGCTTCCTTTTTTTGAAGTATTAAGATTAATGTAAAGTACATCTTTATTTTTAGCAGAAAATAAACGCTACTGCAGGATGCTAGTGTGGCCCTATCCCTGTCAGTGGAAAAAAAAAATCACTGGCTTCACAAAAAGGCACTGTAAAATACCATCATTATGGCAATTATGAAGTGCAAAGTTAAAAATTGGTCAGTATAAATAGCAACCAAATTGCAAAACACTACATGATCCAAAAAAAAAAGTCTTAAAATAACCACAAATGCTACTTTTTAGTACACGACATTCTCAGAAAGATGGTTAGCTATTTTTAGCTCCTAAACATGCAGTACAACAAAAACAATTGACTAAACTGAGTTCTAATACTCTAGTGTACAAACAAGGTATTAATGTTGATCTGTAGAATCACCATCATCCTAACTTATCCAGATAACACTGGAATTATCTGCACAGGTATATATTTTACTACATCACCCCCTACAGTTTTAATTATACATAAGAATGGTTAAGAAATCAGATAAGACGACAACAGAGAACAGACATGGAAGAAATTAAAGCTCTCTAATGTGTTTGGAAACACAGGAAATGAATCTAAGGCTGAGTCACTGAAACAAAAGTTTCCTAAACTGCTCAAAGACCAACCCCAATGGCAGGGAGCAGTTGAATGTCTTCATTAATGACCTGAGTGACGGGGCAGAGCGTACCTTCAGCAAGTTTGGAAATGATACAAAACTGGCAGGAGAGGCTGACACACCAGAGGGCTGTGCTACCATTCACAGGAACCTTGGCAGGCTGGAGAAAGGGGCAGAGAGGAACCTCATGAAGTTCAACCCAGGCAAATGCCAAGCCCTGCCCTTGGGGAGGAATAACCCCCTGCACCAGGACAGGCTGAGGCCCACTGTCTGGAGAACAGCTTGGCAGAGAAGGCCCTGGGGGTCCCGGTGGACACCACGTTGAGTAGGAGGCAGCAATGATCCCTCACAGCAAAAGCTGCCCACAGCCTCCTGGGCTGCATTAGGCAGAGCATTGCCAGCAGGTGGAGGGAGGTGATCCTTCCCCTCTGCTCAGCCCTGGAGAGACACAATGGGAGTTTCGGGTCCAGTGCTGGGTTCCCCAGTACAATGGGGATGTGGACCTCCTGGAGTGGGTCCAGCAAAGGGCCACAAGGGAGATGTGGACCTCCTGGAGTGGGTCCAGCAAAGGGCCACAGAGATGATTTAAAGACTGGAGCACCTGTGATAAAAGAAAAAGCCAAGAGAGCTGAGACTGCTCAACCTGGGGAACAGAAAGTTCAGGGGGATCTTATCAGTGTGTATAGATACCTGATGGACAGAATAAAACACAAACACACACAACAAAAATAAACAGAGCCAGACTCAGCGGTGCCCAGCGACAGGACAAGAGGCAATGGGCCTCAGATGGAGATACAGGAAATTCCACCTAAATACAAGAAACTTAAAAAAAACAAAAGCAAAACCCAAAAGTGGATGTCTTGAATGGACGGAGGGGGAAATCTGGGTGGTTTGTTAATAGATGTCCTCAAAGTTCAACATTTTCCTGGGAGCTTCTCTAGAGACAGATGTAATACATGACATCGTTATAGTGTTTACATGCTATAAATTTTAGTGTGTTTGGGTTATGGAGAAGCCAGGCTGCCTGTCTGAAGAGAGTTACTGTTCTCAACTACATCAAAGAAAAAACAAAACAAAACAACCCTTGCCTCAGGCTACGTGAAACCACTGATGCAAAAAACCTCAAAACCCACACATCACTACAAATAATTATCTATCCAATTTTAAAGATACTTTCTTTTTTTCCCCTAGGGTTTCTCTGGAGAAGACAGATGATAGAACTGTCTTCAAATACTTATAAGCAAGGGTTCTTGTGTATTATTTCTTCTCCCTTCCCCTCATTTATTTTTCATTTTAACGAAGTATAAATAAATGGCATTGAGACAGACCTGCTTTATTTTAAATGAAGAAGAGACTAAGTTACACTCATGTCACTTCTACAAACTGAGAGTATCTCAGAAAAACTGTATTTTAGATTAGCATTGAGAACACCACAACCTGTGTTATCTAGCTATGTAAGAAACCTTGGAATCAAAGATCATAGTTATTTGTTTTGTCAGGGTTTTATTATTGTTCATTACTCCAACTCGGTTAAACGATATCTGTGCAGGAGGGAGGGGAAGAGAGAAGCAGCAGAAACTGCGTTACAACTCCTTTGGAACGGTACACATGTATGACAGCAAACATCTGCTGTGCATTAGGGAGGAAACAGATCTAATGAAAAAAGCAAGGTCCACACACACAAATGGCCCTGGATCACAATCAAAAAAGCCTACTGAACTAAAATGTAAAGATGTTTAAAATGTTTTTTGAAGCATGACTTCCAGCAGCTAGATAATAACACATGAAAATCAAGAAACGTGCCCTCCGTTTACACAACACTGACTCATTGTAGACTACTACAGTTTGTTCAAATCTCTGGTTAGTGACAAGCAGATCAAGCATCAGTTAATGCTTTCAAACTACTCCAGCAGTCTCATGCGTGAGCCAATTAAGTTCAAAACCTTTGTCCCAGCTTTGGCACAGATACGAGATGGTTTGAGGCCTTAAGACAGGCAACAGAATCTTCATGAGAGATGACAACACTGACGACCACCAGGATGGCAGATTCATCTGAAATTCGTCTCCTAGTATGAGTGAACCATAATGAGAATATTTCTATTACCAAATAGTCATTCACGTTAACTTAAATGGACTGACCCTGCAACTCTCTCTCATACAAGTAACCTCCACTAAAATCAAAATCAGACTCTAAAAACAGCAGACTATTGCTAAAGAATCAAACATGCATAAAATCATCATGCTATACTCCACAGCAAAACAGAGAAAGTAGAAGAGTAAGAGCAGATCATGAAAACAGTAAATACCGTATTTCAACAACTAAAACACAGAAAACAATGAAAATGCTGGGGAGATGTGAAAAAAGGAGATCAGAAAGCAATGAAACGTTATCCACTGTGTTTTCTTGAACAGTGACAAAAACTAAGATATTTTCCTCTCAAATTCTGTGTGTTTAAAAAATCTGTACAAAGCATTCAGTACTCCACTAGATTTTTCATTATATCTTCACACTATATTATAACATATGAACTATGATTTGCCTTCTGGAAACCATGAAATCATATCATATTATTTTGTTGTCTAGTATAATTGTCCAAAAAAGACATCACAATAGATTTTAACATATAAAGATTAAATAAAATATTGAAAGTTATCACAAGTTAAAATCACACTTGCTGACATTTTTGACTGTAGGCTTGCTTTGGTTACAGACCCTTTCTAACAAGGTTAAAGTGGGGTCAGTAATATTGATACAAGAGGGAGGATGAAACTAACAGTCATATCTGGAGTGTTCTTTTGTCTGCAGTAATTTGCAAAAGCAAGAGGTTAGCAGGACTTAGACAATGATTAGACATGCATATGGTTACAACCCAGCTCTGCTATAAAGGACAGTGGATGTTCAAATATGAACTTATGCATTAGTGCACAAAGTTACTATTAATTGCCTAAGTGAATTTTCTTCTTACTTCTTGGACAGCTTATTTTATATTCACACATAGTATTGTTTCTGTAACACATCTTTTTCTGAAAACACATCAGAGGGCACTGGAGTAAGTGGACCACTTGCTGTGCCTAGAAATTAAGTTCCATACAGGATTTGTAAGATGACCCAAAAGAGCCTATGAACTCTGATCTGGCAGACCCCTTACCATTACTATTCAGTGTCTTCATAATAACTTCCATTTGTGCAAACTCATAATTGTAGTCTGGTTCTGAAGAAGCTTCACTAGCTGCATCCAGATCGTGCTCCCCTAATGGAGTGTCTTTCTCAAAGTCTTTCAGCCAGTCTCTTCGTTTCCTCTTCGGTAAATTGATTCTGTTTAAGAATTAAAATTTAGTTTCTAGAAAGTTTTTGCAGAACAGTGGAAGGGAAAATGGTCTGTAAGTAAAGAGCCTGGGAAATAAATACAAACCGTTACCTAAAGAAGTGGTTGTTTCCCCATAATATTCTATCTCCATGCCACAACTGAGTGACAGAACATACTAGCGCACCATTTACACAGGATCTAAAAGAAGAAAATAGAACTTTGGTGAAATCCTGAAAATAAAAGGCTGAAAAGTAAGCATCAGATCTTATCTGCTTCCCTCATCTACACACAGTGATTTTTTCCTACCATGCACAAATCAGCTAGATTCTCATTAAAGAATAAATGGGAAAGTTACCAGTGTGATTTCTCCTGTCGTAACTAAACACAGAAAGCCTTTGCCCTCCAGCTTTGGCTATTCCAACTCTTCATTAAACAACAGACAAAGTTGCCATATTAGCTGCCTATTTTTTTTTTCAAATGTCCATTTGACAAACTGGGCCACAGCCTGTTTCTTTTAAACAGTCTGTAAACTTGGTTGCATGCAAATCCCACTGAAAAAGATCTCCAAGATACAGGTTAATCAGCATACATTTGTAAAACATACCATTAACATATAGCGTATTTAAGCATAAGAGAAGACCCTTACATTGAAGTTTCATTCTTTCAGCAAACTCAGGCTCTATTAGCAAAGCTCTACTTTTGTCAACATCTAGGATACAGTATTAGCATCTAGGTCTCTTTGTATCTAAGTTGCATTCGTAAAATGGGAAAAATTGAGCTGTTTGACTTATGCATGTGTGAGTCATATGGCAGGACACTGTATTTTAAAGGTAAAACCACTTTTAACTAAAATTAAATTAAATTAAATTAATTTGATTAATTAAATAAATTAATATTTTTCAGTTACCATGTTCTGAATTTAGCACTCAGGTCAACATAAGCACGTAAGCATTTGATTTAAAACCAGATATTTTTGCACTGAAATTCTGATAACTGAATTTCTGTTGACCCTAATATCTTAAGAACACCTACTGAAGCACTGCAGAACAGGCACGAGTAAAACAAAATATATTTTATACATTTTTTCCATTGACTTGTGCCTTTGTTCTTGCCAGTCAAAATGACTAATCTCCAGTACTGTAACTCTGTCACCGCAAGGCTGAACCCCATCTGTTTGAAATTTTGCACTGTAGGCTGCAGAAGACAGACACAAACTCTAAGAGGTAATTTACTGAAGGCAGAGTAGAAGAGTTTTAAAAAAATTAAAAGGCATCCCTGAAAGCTTTGTTTCTCATACTTATATAGATCAGTTCACTCAAGTGGTAAGACCATTAGTTAGGACAAAAGTACTGCTTCTCACATGCCTTTGGAGATGAAATGACAAAGATATTTTAAAAACTCCACCCAAGAAGCCACAACACCCCCAAAATGAGAAGTCATTAAAATGAAGAAACAAAACAAAAAACTTGGATTCATACCTCATATTTGCTAGACACAGCAATAATTGTAGCATTTAGATCTTCAAACTGCCTCTTTTCTCACAAAGCATTGAGCTTTGCAATAGAAACTACTCAGAGGCAGAAATTATCCTCTCCCATCAAAATGCAGCTTATTATCCCACCACAGAGGTTGGGATAGCAGCAGCATCTTAATCATCCTGTTTACTACCCAAGATACACACAGTCATCCCTCACTCCTGTTGCATACCTTTTTACGATGGCTTATTCTAAGAGAAAGCATTGACAGTCCTTTATGATACAGACAGGTGTGTGCGTGTGTATGTTTAAGTCACCTATCTTGAAGCTACTAATTGATCAGAACATAAGATATTTCTGACTTTGTAAAATAAAAATGCACACAAGTTATTTGGTAATGCAAAGCAAACCCTTCACAGGATAAGTGCCTGCTGATCTTTCTTACCTTGCATTTTCTTTTGGTGTCAGTGTAACTTCTCCATCTAAAGCAATATCAATCTCACAGTGTTCTGGTTGGATTCCTATACCAAAGAGCTGTATATCCTGAGAGGTATCTGCACCAACTCTTGTGTGATCCTAGAAAAGAAGCTGTTACTAAGAGACAAGCAAACTACCTCTGTTTATATAACTAAGACAATATTAGCTGAAGCACTGAGACCACACAATCCACATGCTACGATCCTTTGCTAGGCACTTCTACACAGCAGAAACAGTGCCACAGCAGATATGAAGACTATAAAAGTCACACAGACTGTTCTTCTGCACTCTATTTCATCTCAGTATAGTTTTAGATAAAGCAAAAATAAAGGGGCTGATGCACAAATTCTGATTTTCAAATAGTCCCAAACTACGGTTGCGTGTGTACACATATACATACATTTATATATGTGTGTGTGTAAATACACACACACACACATAATATATAAATATACTTGCATATAAGAAATATTTAAAGGTATACATACATTATATATAATATAGATTTTATATACGCGTGTGTGTGTGCGTGCAGACAGTTATGCATGAGGTAACGCATGCAGTGAAGAAAACCAGCCATGTCTTAACAGCCATATCTGACAGAGAACAACACGGATAGTGAAACGAGGTGCATAGAGTTGGCTGCTTTTTCAGAACACAGCTATATAGAAACTCAACTGAGTTGAGTTGAGTTGATCTCCATATAATTTGAAGCCACACTGCAAGTCCTGCTG